AATTCAAAATGCTTATATCTCCCTTCCTGAATGGTAAATAATGATAATCTTTATTAACTGGGTACCTCGTACCCTTCTTCACCTTGCTTATTTTACTTGCTACAACTCGTATCTAACTTCCAATTCCAATATTCCATTTTACCGTAAGAGTGGATAAGTATTCTTTCCTAAAATCTCCTTATTAGGAACCGTACACCTTTTAGTACACGCATGATCTGCTGAAGACCTCTCATTTACCATCATAAACAAGATGCAAAATCGAGTTCCTCTAACTCAACACTTCCACAGCCATATCTCGTATCGATCGCCTTTCTGAATGTAGGCATCGTCTTATTACGAATAAAATAGAAGTTCGGAATTTGAATTCTTATAAGTGAGCTCTACCACACGATCTAGAGTAAGAAGAAAGAGTGACAGCCCTAGCCTCCTGCTTATAAGTGTGGTGCACAACACACCCATAAACAAGACTCTACTAGACACGGCTTGTAGACTCCCTAGAACAGAACTGCTCTAATACCACTTTTGTCACGCCCCGAACCTGGGGACGGGACCGGCATCCAGCGCCTCACCTATCCTTGCGTACCAACTTGCAACTAAGGGACTCTGAACATATGATGTCATACTTTGGCCATGGGCCATATTGCAAGACAACTGCGAATGCTGACTAAATATCAATATAAAGTTGGGCCGACAAGGCCGTCATAATTATTGCAGCTGACAAACCAACAAAATATACATACAAGGCCTACAAGCCCAACATATTACACTAGCTGACAGGATATGTCTACAAGCCTCTACTGGTAGATATACTGTGATCGGAACAGCTCCCCGACCTACTCATAACATATATACATATATACACAAGATATACATAAAGCTCTAGACCCGGCGAATCCAAAAGGCATGGAGCTTATCGATCAAGTTGAACTCGGGCAACACTTAATGAGGAGGTCTACCCGTCTATCTATCTGAACCTGCACCATGAAATGCAGCGCCCCCAGAAAAGGGACGCCAGTACGAAATAATATACCGAGTATGTAAGGCAACATACTGAAAGCTGAAACTGAACTAATAATATAATAACTGCAAGTAGCTGGAAGTAAAAGATAATTTGAAGATATGCTTACCTGCTGATAATGACTCAACTCTCTTAATATAGTAAATAAAATAGTTGTCCGGCCTTATAAGGCTCGGTATATATATATATATATATATATATATATATATATATATATATATATATATATATATATATATATAAAACTGCTCTGCCGTAGTTGGCTCGCTCATAGGCGCTCGGCCATACTAGGCTCTGTATCTCGACCAACTGGGCTCGCTCATAGGCGCTCGGCCACAGTAGGCTCGGTATATAACTTACCATCTAATCAGAGGTTGCCCAATAGGGGCCTGCCCATCGATTATAGCTCGATGGTAATGAAAATACTTTAATACTGTATATATATACTTTCTACTCTCTTGACTGGAAGAAGGAAATACTCAATTGAATATGAAGTCCCGATAAAGAGAATATTGTAACTTACAAACTAGCAAAATATACATAACTTGCGGGACTAGCAATATATACGTAAATTCCAGATATGAATTTTTCTTTATGCCTCGTCATCAAACTTGTGTTATGACGAGATCATGCAAAATGAAGGAAGAGCTTAGCCTTGACATACCTGAATCCATTCTCTTTGCGAAAACACATAACGGAGGATCGAAGTAGAGAAGAATCCGTATGATATTTTTGAGAAAGATTGTACCGGGTTTTCTTTGAATTAGCATTTCACGTTGAACCGTGTGGAATTTCAGAGAGATCTCACGTTACCATTGCAAAATTTTGAGCTAGTAACATTAATTTGCAAAGGTGATGTGTAAAACAACATTGATCTCATTCTTAAAAATGACTGAGAGAAGTAATGTTTCTGCATCTTATTCTTAACGTTATTGGTATATGACTAAGCCTTTCCAATGTGATGACTAAGCCAAAGCCCTATCAAGTGGCTTGTAAGAGTCATCAACCTTAAATTAAGTTGCTGCCACGTTTTGTATTTAAGCTTATCCACAATTTTAATTAATTATTCACTAATTTTTTGATTAACTTGTTAATCTCCCACTAACCAATATTTGATCGATTACCCACATAATTAAGAATTATCCCAAATTACTTAGAATACTATTCACTTTCAACACACCTTATACACCTTACTATCATAGTCATGTGGTACCTTGTATGACACTAGTCCATAATACCGGATATTTATAGTCCGGACCGTATTTATCTCAAAATGCCAAATTTCGACGAAATTCATTCTCATCGATTTGCTTACCCTCTCAACTTCACGAATTTACTTATCACTTGCTCGAAATAGCATAATACTTATAATCTCAAAATAATCTCATTCCCAAACTTACGTCGATTAACTTACGACGAAACTTTAACGTACGAAAATGCGCGATGTAACATCTCATTTTTCGAGCTTTCATCAATTTATTTATGGCGTACTTCCGCATATAAAAACATGGGGTGTAACACAAACCATAGTCTTAAATATAAATAAATTTGGTACAAAATAATCATTTTTATAATGAGCTACGTAATACACTATCATATGACCGAGAAGACGAAACAACATTGTTACAAAATAATAAATGGTGGGCTTTTTTACAAAGTACAAAAGTTTGAGGCAACTTTTAAAAAATATAATAGTAATATTTTGGGCCAAAACCAGCTCTTTGGGATTTGGATTTTTGGAATTTGCCAAAATATGGATAAAATTTATGAACAAACATGTATTTGCCAAAAAAAAACCAAATATATCTATGACCAAACGGGTCCTTAGGGACTTGAGATTACTGTGCGACCACGCCAAAAATTGTGTACCAATAACTAAATTCAGGCCCATCGCTGCGTGGAGACTCGGTACAACTAATAAGAGAGCAAAGGTGAGAAGTGATCCTAAAAACCAATCGCATTTTGAATAAAAATTCTCAATACCATTCGCCTAGAAGAAAAATCAAAATTGCATTTCATTATGATCTAGCGCATCAGCTGAAATTCCAGGATAATATTGATTTAAAACTAGTCTGCAAAAGCAAAAGATTAAACCTGCAAAGGACAGCATCTAAAGAGAACCCAACAGTGTTTAATGACGGGGCACAAACACTAACCGTAAGATTAGTACACTGGTTTTGTGGAAAACAATAGACACCAAGAGACACTGCCGCATTATGCATCCACTAAGAGACTCCAAGTTACATTCAAAAGCAGTTTTTAGAAGCAAGAAAGTTTGCAAATCATAATGCACTAGAATTGGAGAAAGGAAACGATGCACAGCAACCAAACATTCATCTTCACATTTAATTGAAGCAGCATCATATTGGCTATTAGAAGCCAAATCAGGAAGTTGCCGGGAGGTACGCAAAGAATGCCGCAGGTGAAAGAAAAAACAAAAACGAACACTTTACTTTCATATATAGAAGCATAAAGATCTCACATTTACAATACATTAACAGAGTATAATGCACTAGAAACCACTTATATTTCGCGGTCCAGTCTAATCTATTAACTTTGTTTTCCAGCAATAACAACTAGCAGATATCAATCCCAAATTTCACTGTCGCCAGAATGTGATTAACAGGTGACAACAGTACTAAAATCTATGGAGCAACCACCTCTTCCAAATAAAACTTGGCAACTGCTCGTTTATAAAAATAGAGAACCAGAGCATTTTTTACAACCAAATGAAGTAAATAAATAGAAAATCAGAGCTTGGTAGCTGCAGTAGCAAGTTTGAATGCGAATAGGAGGAAAAGGAGCCAATTATCTCTAAAAATTTCACTATAATAATAACTTGAGAATTCTGAAATGTAATTTTGGCCAGAAAACTACTCTAACCGCTGTCTGGATGGATCGCATTTTACGATTATACTGGGTGCATTCACAGTCCGAAAATTTAGCAGTACTTGCAAAACAAATCTGTGAACAGAAAAATCCTTTTAATAACATAAGAAGCTCCATTTACAGAACCAAAGAAAAAGGCCAAACCCTTGACTAACATAAATAATTAAACCGTCTATATAAGCATCAAAATAGACTCAAAAGCATGTCTAAGCAAAGTGAAGTGGGTATTAAGCATTTATAACAAGGCCGACAAATTACTTACCCTACTTTTAGATCGATCCCCCCCATCCTTCATATTCAATCAAGCTAAATATTGAATAAACATGCCCCGACTGAAAGGTTGGAAATGAATTTGACAAAATAATTAATTGTGGAAAATTTGAGGAAACCTGTCCCCACTATCAGTTGACAAATTGACAAAAAGGAGACAGATTGCCCAGAAATGTTTGTAGCTTTGGTGAATTTAAACCTGGAATCCAGCAAGATCTGAACAGAATGTTGACATGATGGCCTATTTTCGCGGAACATAGTTGTTTAGTAGTTCAATAAGGAAATAAAGTACACTCCATGGGGTAGCCTGACGGGTGAAAAGCTGGACTGCCAACCTTAAAAACCAAGGTTTGAATCTCAGCAAGAGTGACTCTATATGAATTATTCTTATATGTCTCAAGTCTTGGCAAGCAAAGTTGTCAGGTATCTATGCTGGTGGGAGGTGACCAGTACCCAGTAAATTACTCGAGGTGCCCAAGTTGCCCCGGAGCACCGCCATAAAAAGGAAGAAAAGTATGATGTTTCGTGGTCACAATTTGTGTCTGCTGCAGCAAACACAGGCCAGTTTACATTGTTAGAAGACAAAGATAAAAATGAGTCCATAGACATATAGCCAATCAAACTTAATAGAGACCACATAAAGAAAAACTAGAACACATAACAAAAAGAACAATAGCTTATCAAAATTTTAGTTACTGCAAGAAGTCTGAATAATCAGTCTTCTTAACCAGCCATGGAAAAAAATTAAAGGAAAACTGAAAGTAAAATAATGTGAAGGAATTAGACGAGGCAAATGGAAAAGGGGGAGTAGGGAGGTGAGGGAGAAACAAAGAAGAACTTTAAGCTTTAGAGGATGCAAAAACAAGCTATTCTTTCATAACTGAGAACCATTACCAACCTATTGCCCCGCTCTTTCCAAGGTCCCATATCTTGAATATTTAACTTACACGTTCTCAGAATTCTAGCTATCAGTCCTCAGATTCCTTCTCATATAGAACAAAATCTATTATCTAAACCAATCCTTTCAGCTGGAATTTGGATACACAAAGAGAACTTTTAACTTCTGCAGATTAGCAAGTTTAAGGTAATGAGGACAACAATGATGAAAGGGTAAACACATACTCATCATGACGAAAGGTACTCGAAGACCGATTCTTTGCTCTTTTGTTTTCTAGATGAGTTCAACCACATGCACTTGAGAAAATATTACTTGGTTCTAACTGAATAAGCTTAAGCTACTTTGAGGGCTGCATTGAATTTCCTGAAACTGTTGTAGGCATAAAAGAGCTTGGTGTAGGAATTCCTGCCATTATGGGTCTTGAATTCGGTAGCCTTTGGGAGCTCATTGCATTTAGAGGCCTAGGTGCAGCCATCCCAGGCCTGTTAGCAAGTAGTGGTTGTGGCACAGGACGAGATGAAGAGGCATATCTTGATTGAATTATTTGATTACGCTCATGGATAAGCCTCTGTTTTGACCTCTCCAGCAGTTCTCTGACCCTCATAACCACATTATCCATGTCACTAAAGAAGGTTAACTTGCTCTCCAGCTTGTGTAACTGCAAAGAAGCAACTTGAAGGGTTGAGTACTCTTTGAGACAAAGCAAAGCTAAGAGAGTCAAACTTAAATCAGCTCAAAATCAAGTCGCAGAACCTGCGACAATATGATCAAAACTTGACCAGACAAGTCCTAACTCAATGATTAAACTCGGTTAGGATTCCTCCAATGTAAAGCAACATAAACATTCAACCAAAGAAGGGAGAATAGAGGATGTATTTCCCAATAGATAGAGACAGTCTACCATTCATCTATACAACATTGTATTTTTTTTCTCTTCTTAAAGGAAGACAAATACATTTTATACTCCAAGTGGAAAACAGCTTATTATCCATTCCTTAATTACGAACAAATCATTCAGAGCTGCTTTGATTGCTCAAGATCTATTTCAGCCTACATCTTGCATTAAACCACATTAGTAGATCAGTCTCAAGTTTGAATGGAAGCCTAGCCTAGCAGAAATGGGTGAAGAGCTTGCAGCTGTTGGATGATTCCCATAGAACATTAGGAGCCCAAAAGATACAGGTACCTGTTGCTGGGCGGGAGGTGGCAGGTGTCTCGTGGAATTAGTCGAGGTGCACGCAAGCTAGCCCGAACACCATAGTTATTAAAAAAAGAAGATACAATTGTCAAAGAGCTGGCTGGCCAAAATTACCTGCTTCTCTATTAATGACGTAGTAAGCTGCCGAATTTGGTCCTCTTCCTGATCTGCAAGACATTTTGCCTTGACTGCTGCAGCCGACAGAGCAGTGACTGCTGCACGTTTGATCTTATCGATATCCAGATCATTTTTGGTCTTCAAAGGATCTTTTCTCCCATCTACAGAGTCTTTCGCTTCTCCAGCCCCTGAGCAACAGAGCACCAACGGAAAAATTCAGAATTATAGGAGTTACAAATTCTTAAAAGTCTTGCTATAGTGCAGAGAGAAGAATATGAATGAGTTTTCCACTCTGGAAAGCAACCAAAAAGAGAACCACAGCATAGGCCCCGAGGCTATGACAATCACACTTTCCTACTCCAACTTTAGATTTTATTGTAGTAATTCCTAATTATCTAAACGACTATTTAAGATAATTGGTCTTTGTAACATTTAACCCTTAAGGATAAAATTGTTTTTCTAAATGGTTCGAAACCCTGAGGAAGATCACTCTTGATGAAGAGGTGATCAATACTGTAATTATCATGTTCCGAACAGCACAAGTATTTGCTTGCTATTCTTTTACCTTTCATCTAAATTTATTCCCTTAATTGATTCTGAAATTCCCGCATACAAAGTCATATAAGAGCTTCCACACAAAAATCCCAAACTAGCCACCTTACTTGTCCCACTTTGCCCATCATTTGCGTTCCCCAGCTCCAACAATCCATCAACTCACTTCAGACCCCCCCCCCCCCCCCCAGCATTGCATCTCCTTTATAAGAACTCCTGAAATTCCTATCCCAATTCCACACCCCTCCCGTGTTAGTTCAACCTGTTTTCATTTCAAGGTCAACTTATCTCTTTTCTCTCTATACCTCTACCTGTGGATTCTCATCAATGATTCCCACCTTACAAGAGGGGACTATGCGTGTGTACACTCTCCATTTCATAATATATGATGGTAGCCCAGGAAATTGTATCATTGTATATGTCACTTTTTGCTTGAGTACGAAGCTGAAGATGGTAATTAAAATCGAGTATTATAGCAGTTGTAATGGTAGTAAATAGCTAGTTGGATTAAAAAAAAGCACTATATCAAAGTAAATGACTACGAATTCTTAAAGTTATTATTAAACCATGGTATTAATGGCATGGTGTCAAAACACTTTTGAACATCCCTAAATGAAAGAGTATAAATAAATCGAGAGAGAGAGAGAGAGAGAGAATGACACTTAACATGAGACCAAGACAGTATCAGAAGGATTCAATTTAAAGCACCCAAAATAAGGCAGCAATCATCCTTACGGGTTATTTGTGGGAGAGGGAGTTGCAGGGCATAATGAATGACAGAGGGGAATATGAGAGTTCAGAGAGGTGGGAGATAAGAGGAACTAGAGGAGACTAATACATTGTGTAGTGAAATAGGAAAGATAAAGGGTGCTGGAATAAACTTCAGTGTCAGTTTAATTTGAAGATCTGGGTTTGGTGATGAGAACTAAAGCACTGTCATGTTACCAATTGCAAACTCGAGTACTGGCCGAAGACTCAAAAGATCCTCTGTGATTCTCTTAGTTGAAAGATTATTTTATAAAATCAATATATTGACAGATTTCCTAGTAAATGCATGTCATGTATTTTTATTTTATTTTTTATAATTAACGGATGCCATATATCTTTATGTTGACGAATCGTATCCACTTGTGCTTGCACTCCATAATTAGAATATTTTCCACTTCATTTTTTAATTAGCTGTCTGTTTCCAGCTTTGAAACTCGGTGGATGATAGGCCCGCCTCTCTATCCTTCTCCCAGCTAGGATTTGAACTTGTTACATGCACCAATAACACATCCCATTGTACTACCTTTGGCATTGAGCCAAAGCCCTAGGGCAACATGATTAGCAGAACTTAAACCATGCATAAAACATAACACCAAATTGAGAACTTGGACCTGTATTTTCATCATTTTCAGCTACAGTGTTCGATTTCGCGGATTGCTCAGGCTCCTTTGTTTGCACAACAGGCATCATGTCCTCATCTTTAGGAGTATCTGGAGAGTCAGAAGGCATGGCTGTTAAAGCTCTATCAACTGACTCCTTTTCAAATCCGGGTGGGAGCTCTAATTTAGACGTTAGATCATCTGATTCTGCTGTGGTACTTGGTGCCTTTCCCACTGCCAACCCTGCATCATCTGGCCCTTTATGTGATGCAGGTTCCCCATCTTTGTCAGTAGGAATTTGACTGGATTGCTTTGAAGTATCAGATTTCTCTGGATTTCCGTCACTCGCAGAGACCAAATGCGTCGCTTCTCCAAGTTCATTTTCATTTTTGTCTTCATGGTTTTTACCATCCTGCTCTTCACACTTTTTGTCAATGTTCACTTCAGCTTTGGTCTCTTTGTTTGGTGCAATTGACAAGCCATTCTCATCGATAACTGATGTCAATTTTTCTTCCTTCTGCATTTCAACATTCTCATCCTCATCTTTCTTATCTTCTGGATCAACTGATCCATTAGCAGGTCTGCATAACTAAATTAGCAATTAGACTCCAACTCAATTCAATACCTGTTAACTAAAGCTAAAGGGAGGAACACAAACCTATCTGAATCAGGTGATGTCTTCCCCTCTGGTGGATCTTCCAAAACAAAACAGTGCCTTAAGGCTAGCTGCTCACCAGATGGATTGCCAGAAATGGATTTCAAAGAGCTGCGTACTGAGGCAGTAACCCTGTTAGCTTCTACCAGTTTCACCAGGAACGCTGCCTAGAGAAGGAAAGCATCATAATGAAGGCAACCAAAACATTTTTTTTAGAATTATACAGAAAACATTTATTCCAGTAATCACTTTGGTTTTCCCGGTTTCAACTCCCCCTCTCCCCTCTACTTTTCAAGGGCAAACAGCAATATCACAAAGAAAAAATGGATTGATCAGTAAGTTCATTGTGTTCATCCATATTTTAATAATAATCAGAGGTTTAACAGCAGAACAGAAACCAACTGGATTATACTTTTAACAACTGCCTCCTTTGAACGGGATTAAAATATCTCATTGACACGCAGTGCTAAAATCAAACCCTATCCTTCTCAAAACAAGGTCTCGGACTGTAAAAATGGTGAGGAAAGACTTCAACCGCCGGAAAGATTTGACCTTGATCAAGTAAATAACACAAACAATTTGATTTCATTATTCTGGGAAAGACATGTAAAGATTTCTAGCTTTCAATGGAGTGCCTTGAGAGCTCAGTTGCATCACAATTGTGGTTGAGCCTATCAAAAGGAAAAGAAACCAGCATACCAGTGCCATTACAGGATTTCCAGCTTCAGCAAATGAAACACGTTCTCCAAGTGGAGGATAAGAACCAACAGCTGTAAATGCATCCCTCAACGCGTTGAGTGCACAGTTCTCACCAACTTCCTCCCGAGGAATTAGCTCATTCACATTCTCCGGCTTTGAAGTTTCCACTGTGGAGGAAAGCTGATTGTCATTTCCATCATCCTTACTCTCTTTTGTTTTTGGGGCATCAATACTGGCTGATGTATCATCTTTAGACAAAACTGAGTCTTCTTTTTCTTTAACACACTTGTTACTTTCAACATCAGTATCCAGGAATATATCCTCTATTGGCATTTCAATAAAGTGCAGAATACACTGAGCTTTGGTCTTTGTAGCCACATGCTCAGCAATCTCATTCCAGTTTTCCTTATAAAGCTCTAACGCCTCAAGGAGAAGAAGAGTCTCCTGATCTGTCCACTTCCCACCACTTGCACCGCCAGCCTCAGCAGGCTCCATAAGAATGAAATCTGAAGGGAACATCCCAGATCCAAACTTCCCGTTGTTGAAGCATTCGCTACACAAGTCAAAATCTGCCTGTGTAGTAAAAACAACAAACACAAGAAGACAGTCAGGCATTTAGGTAAGTACTCAAGTTTTGACAAATATACTTCAGAAGCGACGATGGCGTTTTAATATGTAATTGAACAAGAAATTATGAACCATACAACCTAAGGATATTAGAGCATGGACAAGCTGCATCATTTCTCATATCAATGTCTTATCTCATTAGCCCTAAAAGGAAAAAGGACATTAGCATTGAGCAAAAATACCTGCTTTTGACAATGATACCGCTTTCTTGAGCAGTCCGCTGAACAAGAGTTACAATGGTACTCAACAGCTGGCCCCTCAGACTTCATCAGTTCTTCAGCAATAGCTGACTCTGGAAAGAACCCAGAAGACATAGGAGTAGCTACACTAGACCTCGGAAGAACCGGGGTCCATGTTTCATCTGATTCAAATCGAAACAACTTATCAACCAAAGAATCTGTCTTTGCTGACTCGTCTGCATCAATATCAACTCTAATATCTGAATTAGTTTGAGGGAACGGGTGGTAATTAATTAAACCCCAGTAATCCAAAAACTCCATCACTTCCTGCTTTGCATCCAAATCTCCTGATGAGAGCTCAGACAAATCACTCAACTCAATTTGAATGTTGGGGTCAGCGTGATACTTTTTCATGATCCAATTCCGTATCTCCATGTATATTTCTGAAGTCCTACTTTCTGACTTCCCACTGAAGAACGACGGCATTGTTCGCTTCTCCAAAGGATGAACCTTTGTCCAAGAAAACCAACCTAAAAACTTTGAAAATGTCATAAAATATACGGAAGATCCCTAATGCTTTTAAAATTTAGTAACAGACGATAGATTAGAAAGATGAGAGAGCAATTTCCAGTTTAAACTTTTGAAAAACTCTTTCCTTTTTGGAATGCCTAAATTGTTGACACCATTCCATTTCTATACAAATCTGGCAATTGTCAAGAAATAAAATTCATAAAATATCCGGAAGATTCCTAATGCTTTTAAAATTTAGTAACAGACTATAGATTAGAAAGATGAGAGAGCAATTTCCAGTTTAAACTTTTGAAGAACTCTTTCCTTTTTGGAATGCCTAACTAGTTGACACCATTCCATTTCTATACAACTCCGGCAATTGTCAAGAAATAAAATTCATTGTTTGTTCAAATTCTAAACTATGATATGATATTTTCAATGTCAAACTAACTTTCAACCATTACTTTAATATTTTCTTTTACTATTACTAATAAAGTGTATAAGTCAAAAATGAGATGGAAGAGTATTTACTATGAAACTGTAAATGTAAAAAACTCTCTTTATTTGTAAAGTAACACTAAATCTATCTCAAAGATATAAACTTTAACCTCATAAATTCAATTTCTAGTTTCAACCAGATCTTCAGCTTACTCTATCAATAAACATGTTCAATTCCTCAACTTCCAAATTTATAAAAGGCTACTTGTAACTCACCGGCATGAGTCGGAACAACGTGAGCATTAGGATCTCGGGATCTAATTGCCTCAATTTCAGCTTCAATTTCAGCCTCTAATGCCTCCAAATCCTCCTTAGCTTCATTTAACTCTCGCTCAACCTTCAACGCCTCTTCTCCGCCGGCCACAGCCGTTGGCAGCACCTCCGATTCACTCTTGACACCAGAACCAGACGGAGAAGCAGCTGCGGCGGGGGCGGGGGCGGGGGCGTTGTTTGGCTGCTGGCGTGCAGCTCTCGTGAGGGGACCGTTGTGGATCGGTGGAAAAGGTACTGATGACTGCTTGTCACGCGCCTGACGCTTCGACGAAGTTGACGGAGGAGTCGAACCGGCGCCGCCGCTTCCAATGGCGCTTGCTTTTCGTTTCTGGCCGCCGCCTCTCCGACGAGACGTAGGTGCCTCGGCAGACGTAACATCAGCCGCTTTCGTCGGCGTGTCGGCAGCCGCCGGTGGTGGAGTTCCGGCGTCCTTCCGTTTCTCCTCCATTATTAGAGAGCTGAACTACTTGCAACTACACTCAGATCGTCGTCTTCGAAAAGGAGGATATGTATTTTTTGAGCCTCGGGGTTGATTCGTTGCACCGTCGGTACATGTTAGTTTACGTGGACTCTCTAAATAAAAAAAAATATTCATCAACTAAACCAGAACCGTTAATGACATTACCAGCCTTTGCTTCAGTGGGTATATAGAACGGCGTTTAAAGTTTTTTACCAATTTAAAGAAATTGGGTTAACTAATGGTGTTTTTTTAAAAGTGCTGATACCTTTTGTCATTTAAATTAAATATATATTGAAACAAATAAACAAGATTTCAACATTTAAGTTGAATTTGTCACTTCCTAATTTGTCGCGTTGATTTAGTTTAGAGCTTTACTTATAATTCACTTTCACTTTTAATTTATTTGGTATAATGACAAGAGTTAAACTTAACAACTTGTTTGAATGGTTACATATTCTTTCGTAAGGTATCGTATTTTATTGTATTGTATCGTTTGATGAATATAATGTTTGGATAGATTGTATCATTTTCCGTTGTTTCATGATATCATGCACTAGCAATATGAAAAATGCACTTGAAATATTATAAAGAAAAATTATGATACGGGATAAAATTATTATATAAAAAGGTAGGGTAAATGATAAAGTATAATTATTTAATAATAATGAAGGGTGAGACGAGAGAAAAAGACAAGGTAACGACGTAATCACATCAAATCGATAGTTATATAAAGTGGCACATTTTGTCGTTACGTAACGACAGATTTAACGATACGATACGATAAATTTAAGTAACAATCAAAACAAACATTATATTTAAAGTAACAATACGATACAATACAGTAGATAACGACCATCCAAACAAGTTGTAAATGAAGAAATACGATCATTAAGAATTTGTATAATCAAACTTAACTTATTTGAGATTGCTCGTTGTTATTATTATTATTATTTATTTTTTTAGCTCAGATCTTCTTTGTTTTTGTTGAAAAATTTTAACTTAGCCAAATAAATTGGTATCGAACTTTTGCTTTTCTCTACCTGTTAATAATATGATCAATTGACTATATGAGCACTATCAACTAAATATGGTTAAGGGCCTTATTTTTTAAATGAAATTTCTAGGTCGGCGTTTGGACATAAGAATCGTAAAATTTCGAGAGAAAAAAAAAAAATTCAAGTGAAAATGGTGTTTGAAAATTAAAGTTGTGTATGACATAAATATAAACTAGAGCTATTCACTGCATTGATATTTCCCATACTAGCTAGCTTAATACAAGATTCTTCCGATATACATCTAAGGTAGGATTTCCCTGCATCGTCATCTTTCATTGCTGCCTCCACCATTGACGTAGGTGCATGAAGGATGATTGTTTTATTCATATTCCTAAACTTGGTACTATCCTTTGCCAGGAGATGCGCCACAAAGTTTGCTTCTCGAAAGTTATGTCTGAGCAGCGGATCCTCAATTACCTCTGTTGAGTTCGTTTAGATTTCAAGAGGTTGGAGCTTAAACTGTACAACAACTCTTAGACCTATTTCCAGCGCAAGGAGCTCTGCTTGAGTATTGCTAATGACGTTAGAGAGCCTTTGAAAACCTAGAATCCATTGGCCATGATTGTTGCATATGACTCCCCCCAAACCACCAATGTTCTTGTTAATATTATAAGCACTATCACAATTAAGTTTGTAAGAGCCCATGCTAGGTTTTTGCCAAGTGATGATGATGTTTTTAACATTTAAGGAGGGATGGTGAGTACCAATAAGGTACTTAAACTCAGCAGCTCTATTAAGAGTTTGGGAGAGTGAGACATCTTTAGAATCATTATTAAAGTTATTGCTATTACGATTAAGCCCAAGATGCTAAAGACCATAAGGATAAATGCCCTCCCAATCCAGCGAGGGAAAAGATTTTGTTGGCTGCGTCAGTCTAATCGAATCAAGCCAGTGGATATCATTTGAAGTGGATAGGGAGATACAAAAGTTTCCCCAAAATCTCACGGCTATGGGGCAAGTTTTGAAAATATGGATGATATCTTCCATACCTTTTCTACAAACTGGGCATTGGTCATTAATGTTGAGGCTTATGCGAAGAAGATATGATCTAGTGGGAAATTTATTATGATAGCAAGGCCAAAGGAAAAAAATTATTTTTCTAAGGATTTTTAGCTTCCAAATCCAGGAGATGTTTAGGATGGGTTCCTTAGAAGGGGTGATAAGGCTTATAGCTGATTTTATGCTAAAAATGCCGCTATTGGTGGGAAACCAGTATGGCTTATCATTAGTGGGGATAGAATTATTAATATGAATGCTTTGTATGGCATCTTTGATATCACTAGGAATGGAAGAGGAGAGACAATCAAATTTCAGTTGTGGTGGACAAGGACATCCCTTACCAGCATGTTTTCTTCTTTAAAAGAAAGGGGACCTTGGATCAGTGTTCTTAGAGGGGGAGGTTAGGAGTCCATCTATTGTTCCAAAGGTTAATACGGTCTCCTTTACCTATATTCCATGCAAGACCCTTACTGCATAGACTTCATTCATGCACAATATTTTTTCATATAAAGGAGGACTTCTTTGGGGAGGTTTTAGTGGAGTATTGATTGATAAGAACCTTAGCCCGAGGGGCCATTGGATTATATTATAAAGACGTCATGTAAGGATGTTGCATGCCCAGAATTCCCCTATCCAACCAAGATTGAGGTTGATGGTTCATTGGGAGAGGGGTGGTTGAGTAAATGAGGGGATTGTTGTGAGGAGGGAGAGGGGGAAGGTTTTCCATTTGATGATGATTTAGGCGAGGAAATCTGAGAAGATGAGTTCTTTTTTGAAGGTGTAATGGTAGACGAGGCATTATAAGTAAGTGAGGAATTTGTAAAATCAGAGGCTTCGTATTGTACTTGAGTGTTAGTATCCTGGGAGGTAGATATGGAAGACTTGTTATCGATTTGCATGGATTCTGAGTGGGGTTCCGTAAGGTTTATAACCTTGAAAGGGTTAGGGATGTCGTTTTCCATTTGTTGAGATGGAGGAAAAAGGTTTTGCATGGCTGTATTTACTAGCTGTTTACTATCCAAACCGTGGATGGTAGAGGAATTGGATTGATTGTGAGAAGTCAAGTGGCTATTAAGGTTATTTAGAGGGTTATCATTAGCCACGTGGAGGTTATTTTCCTCCATGCAAACCGGATTTTGCATAGATGATGTCGAAATAGAGGTTTGTTTGTTTTGGCTTAAACCATGGTTTTGGATACTAGTAGAGTGTGTCAGAAGATTAGTGTCCGACGTGTCTAGAATATCAAATTGATTCCTATGTTAAACTTATAGTTTTTAGCCATAGGGTTAGTAGGTGTGCCTAAAGATACCTTCTCTTTGTAGATAAGTTTTTGAGTATTGATGTATTTTCCAGTTGTGGCATCAAAGATTTTTGCCTTGATACTAGAGTTATCCGTAGTGTTAGCATTATTTGGGGAGGCTTTTGATTGACGATTATTTTTGATGTGTTGACCTCTTCGTTTGGAGAAGGAAACTACCTTCCATTGATCATCTTTAAGGTGAGTTGAGGGATTTCCTATAATTACTTGAGAAGAAACGGTGGTGGGAGGATGTTTGCTATCATAGACACAATTTGACTGAGTGTGGCCTAATTTACCACACTCTTTGAAAAGAAAATTTTCTCCCAGTAGTGAATAGGTTGCTTATGAGAACTTATATAGATAAAAGGGCGAACGGGGTGTTCTAGAGGTAATTCTACACATAATCTAGCATATCTACCTCTCAAAGTGGCGGAAGTGCAAGCATCGATTTTAAAAGCTTACCAGTTTTGTTACCAATCTTTGTAAGAATATTACTGTAGTAAAACTCTGTAGGGAGTTGGGGTAATCTTAACCAAATGGCAGAGATGTTTAATTTTTCATTAGAAGCAACAAATTTAGGAACCCATTTTTTAACCGATAGATAGTGATCATTGATGAACCATGGTCCTTGATGAAAAGCTTTGGCCATGTTGGCTTCTTGAGAAAATTTAACAATATAAAAATCATTTTCCAAATCAATAAGGGGAAACTGTTCTGTAGGTTTTCAAAGCTCTGAATCTTCTTTTTGAGATATTGATGAAGGATATGCTTACCAAATAGCTTGATAATAACCGAAGATTTCCATGGTTCATAGATACGTTGCAATTCATCGGATGAGAGAACAATAGCATGGTCCTAGATGATGTATCCTCTTGTACGGGAGTCTCAGGCATGGCCTCATGGCTATCATTAGTTATTGAAAAAGAGGAAACATGTTGTCCATGAATGAAGTTTATTGGGTCTGGGGACAAGAGTTTCTCCTTGAAGGAGGGTAAAACCTCATTTTCTAGTGTTCTAGCATCAGTTGCTGGATCTGGAGGTTTTGGAGGTATAGATATGTCCATTAAGGAAGGGTCTAGGGCGTGTTGGGACATGGGATGAGGAGAAAGATAATTGGATGGAAGGGAAGTTAGAGAGAAGGGAGAGCTTCTCTCTATTAGAAACTCACTATTTTTTTCAGCATTATTTTTGTTAATATAATAATAACTAGTACTCCTAACTAGAATGAAAAGCAACATGTGGAATTTGAAGGCTTCTAAAATTGGGTACACTGTAGTTCCATACAACTGGATAGTATTTTCGCAAAGATGCTTAGATAGAGCTAAAAAGTGAAAGCCAGAGCAATTTTGTAGCCATTTGAACTATATCTGTCAATATGGGTCGGGCCGGGTTAGTCCAGCTCAACCCATGTGGGCTTTAGCAATTGATGGGCTGGGTTGGGCTAGCCTACCATTTTGATGGGCCTTATAATAGTCAACCCATCCCAGCCCTATATGGGCCATGGGCCCCCACGACCAACCCATCATTTTGTAAACATTAAGTAATAGCCTAAAAAAAAGATAAATATTTAAAAGTTAAAAATATCTTATTGGAAATTTTTTGCAAAATATAATAATTTTTTATACTATTCCAATATATTACAATAAACACTAAAAAAGTAAAAGGCAAGAGAAAGTCAAAACTCAAAACAAACTATTCAAGAGAACGTCCATGATGCTTATGGGATATCCAACACATCATCTTC